AGGGTCCCGGCCCCTCAGCCCTCCCCTCACTGCCTTCTGCTCCTCAGATGTGCCTGAACCACTCTAACCAGTTCACCCACCTGGGCAACATTGCCGAAACCAGCAAGTAAGCGCCCCTGTCCCCGCCTCTGCCGGCCGTCTGTGCCCGCACCCCACCCCTGGGAGCAGGGACCTGAGCGGGGCTCTCTTGCGGGCAGATTTGAAAAGCTGGCAGAGGACTGTAAGCGGAGCATGGAGATCCTGAAGCAGGCGTTCGCCCGGGGTCTCCCCACGCCCACCACCCGCTTTGAGCAGAGAACCTTCAGCGTCATCAAGTAAGGCCCCGATGCCCCTTGGCCCCGGGTGCCCCTTTGGAGAGGGGTCTGCGCTCCCCAGAAGCCGGCAGAGGACTTGCCTCTGGGGGGGGGGAGTCTGGTTGCATGGTGCAAGCACAGTATATGCAAGGGTCCTGAGGCAGGCATGAGGTGCACGTGAAAGATGGTGACGGGGGTTCCCAGTGGCACACTGGGAAGTGGGAGGGATGTGCCTTGTCCCCAGGCCTGGGCGAGCCCTCAGCGTGGTTGGTATTGGTCCTGCTCCCGTGAAGCCTTCCTACACCCCGGGGAACAGGGGGCATTTTTCCCACTTACAGATGACAGCCACTGCAATAACCTAGGATGCCCCATCCCCCTTGCCTGGGCTCCCCCACATCTGCATAGCCTGGCTCCCCATCACCTCATCTCCACCCACTGTCCCCATGTTGCTGGCCTCCTGCCACGCAGGCCTGCTTTTGGTCCCTCTGACAAACCAAGTGTGTTCACCCCCAGGGCCTTTGCACTGGCTGTTTCCTCTGCCTGGACCCTCTTCCCCAGGTGTCCATGTAGTAGCGCCTTCGTGGCATCCAGGATTACCTATGATGTCACCTCTCTTGAGAGGGCCTCTTTTTTTTTTTTTTTTTAATGTTTTATTTATTTCTGAGAGAGAGAGAGGCAGCATAAGCAGGGGAGGGTCAGAGAGAGAGAGACACACACAGAATCCAAAGCAGGCTCCAGGCTCCAAGCTGTCACCACAGAGCCCGACGCGGGGCTCGAACCCACAAACTGCGAGATCATGACCTGCATTGCTCCTTAGTTGCTTAACTGACTGAGCCCCCCAGGCGCCCCCTGAAACATTGTTAAATGAAGGGAAAGTCCCCCAGCAGTGAGGCCACTAGCTGTGCCAAGTAGGTCCCAGACTGAAGGAGTCTCGAGAATGAGCCATTGGCAGACCTACACAAAGAACTCCAGTCCGTCCAGAGCCTAAAACTGGAGCCCAGGAACCCATGTACCCACCAAGGCCAGCGTGGGGTGGGTTCCTGGCCCTGCAAAGGGAGAAGACGGCGGGCGGGCATTGGGGCTGACGTGCCTCTGTGTCCCCATCTGCCCTCCCGGAAGGATCTTCCCGGACCTCAGCAGCAACGACATGCTCCTGTTCATTGTGAAGGGCATCAACTTGCCCACGCCCCCAGGTGAGGGGCGCCGGGCAGGGGTCAGGGCCGGGGGACCACCGCACTGCCCAGCTCTGACCCTCGTTTGCCCGCAGGACTGTCACCCAGCGACCTGGATGTCTTTGTTCGGTTCGACTTCCCCTATCCCAACGTGGTATGTTGAGGGCCCAGGAGAGGAAGGATGGGCTCCAGCCTCATCGGGCCAGGAATGGGTGGGCAGGGGTCCAAGGGCAGCCCCCAACCCCTGAGGCTTCCTGCCTCCTATCTGGCTGCAGGAAGAGGCTCAGAAAGACAAGACCAGTGTGATCAAGAACACCGACTCCCCCGGTGAGTGGAGGCCGTGGCGGCGGCGGCGGGAGGCACCCCCGGCCCCGTGCAGAGAGGACCTGAGACCGTAGCCTGACCCCCCTCCCCCCCCACTTCCTCTTCGCCCACCCTCATTCCCTGAGTAGAGTTCAAGGAGCAGTTCAAACTCTGCATCAACCGCAGCCACCGGGGCTTCCGAAGGGCCATCCAGACCAAAGGCATCAAGTTCGAAGTGGTCCACAAGGGGTGAGCCGGGGGTGCCGGTGCTGGGCGGACTCGGGGGGAGGGGCAGCTGCCCTGGGCCCACCGTCCTGTCCCCCGCTCCCGCACACAGGGGGCTGTTCAAGACCGACCGGGTGCTGGGCACGGCCCAGCTGAAGCTAGACGCCCTGGAGAGCGCGTGCGAGGTCCGGGAGATCCTTGAGGTGAGATGCGGACCTTTGGCCACAGGCTCTGGTGTGTGGCTCTGTCACTGGTTTAACATTATTCAAAAGCTCCCTACAGGCCCCGGGCCTCCTAGGGGTCTCTTCTGCTGACCCAGCTTCTCCCCCAGGGGGTCCCAGACCTCCGTACTACCCAGCCCTAAGTATCCCCAGCACCCTGCTCCATTTTGACCAGTCAGTGTCTCACTTATATCCAGGGGCCCAGGTTTGGGGAATTAACCCTGCTTCTCCCTGATCCCGGCCCCGGGCCGCCAGCCACTTCTCACTAGCCTCCCTTCATTTCCACCCAGGTCCTGGATGGCCGCAGGCCCACTGGGGGGCGGCTGGAGGTCATGGTCCGGATTCGGGAGCCACTGACCGCCCAGCAGTTGGAGACCACGACCGAGAGGTGGCTGGTCATCGACCCCGTGCCCGCAGCTGTGCCCACAGTGAGACTCCGGCCCACCTGCCACCCCAGGGAGGGAGGCTTGGTTTAGTGGGGGCCGGGAATCACTTTGGTTCTGTCCACCAAAGCAGGTTGCTGGGCCCAAAGGGAAGGCCCCTCCCGTGCCCGCCCCTTCGAGGGAGCCAGGGAACAGGTAGGTGGCTGGGTCCAGGCATGCTGGGGAGAGGCCCCTTCTCCCTGTTTCAGTTCCTCCTGGACACTGTCCCGTCAGGCACAAGTTGTAGCGTGTCCCTTCCCTGCTCCTGAACGTCTCCTGGCTCCCCTTCTCCTGAAGCATGCAGTTGAAACTTCTCAGCCTGGCACTTAAGATCTTTTGTGATTAGACCATTATCAGTATATCCAGTAGTCTTGTCTCACCCCGCTTCCTCCTGTTCGTTCATGGTTACCTACACCCAGTTTTCACTGGTCTCTGGGCTTTTCTTTGTGATATTGATGCTTTGTGATTTTTCCCTACCCAACACCTGCTCCCCCCTCCCCTGCCCAGCTCTAACTCCCTGGCTCCCAGCCTGGCTACGGCCTTGCCTAGGAAGCCTTCCCTGCCCCCCGTGCATGCCGGTTGCTTGAGTGTACAGCCCTCAGCCCCGCTAGGTCGTGGGCTCAGCAGAGCACCAGGGTGGGCCTGGCTCATCTCCCGCTGGTCCCCGGGGCCCAGTGCGTCTGTGAGAATTAATGAAGGGTCAGGGCTGGGGGGGTCCTCGCGGCCCTTCATCCCTCCCCGATTCCATAGGCCGGCCCGGCCCCTGCACAGCCTCAGCGTGCTGGCCTTCGATCAAGAGCGGCTGGAGCGGAAGGTGGGTGCCTGCCCAGATGGGCTTCCTGGGGCCAGACTGGGGGGTTCGGTAGGCCCCGGGCGGGGCCACCACAGTCCCCGACTCTGCCACCCCACAGATCCTGGCCCTGAGGCAGGCGCGGCGGCCGGTGCCCCCGGAGGTGGCGCAGCAGTACCAGGACATCATGCAACGCAGCCAGTGGCAGAGGGCGCAGCTGGAGCAGGGGGGCCCGGGCATCCGGAGGGGTAGGGTCTCCGGGAGGGGCATGTGGGGGAGGGCAGGACTGCGGTCCCCATCCTGACCTTCCCACCCCGTCCCCCACCCCCAGAGTACGCGGCCCAGCTGGAGCGTCAGCTGCAGTTCTACACAGAGGCAGCCCGGCGCCTTGGCAGCGACGGCAGCAGGGTGAGCCGGGCGGCGTCTAGGGGGCGCTGGGGGGCTGGGGCTGCCCGCTGCTGCCCGCTGACCACCTCTTGGCCCCCAGGAGGCTGCGAAGGAGGCACTCTACAGGCGGAACCTGGTAGAGAGTGAGGTGAGCGGCCAGCACGTATGTGTGGGGCATGCGGGGGTGGGGGGGGGTGCGGGGTATGGCTGTGGCCATGAGCACCGCCCCCCTGACCCCGGTGGCCTCCCCCGTAGCTGCAGCGGCTCCGCAGGTGAGGGGCCCACCCGGCAGGCTGCCCCGGGAGGGCGCCCGAGGCCCTGGCACCGGGAGGAGCTACCCGAGTCACAGCCGGAGAGCAGACAATCAGCAGCCCGTCGGCGCCAGATGGACACGTCCCCCACTGGGCTCTCCCTGGCCGGGGGCATGGAGGATGGCGCCGCCAGCCAGCTTGTGCCCCTTGCTCGGGCCTGGCTGGGTGGGCCCCGGAGAGTCCCGTTTGCACAGCCTGGGGTGTCCGGCCCCTGGCCTGCCCCGGAGGTGAGGGGAGGGGGCAGCTAGGACCAAGCCCCGAGGGCCCCTGCAAGCACTTTATTTCCTGTCCCTCCCCAGCCTTAACCCTAAAGCCCACCCACACCCCAAAGAAGCCGCTGAGGTCAGCCAGAGCCCGGCCGGCTCCCCAGGGCTGACACAGGGAATAAACCGCCAGGGCCATGCCTGGCTCACTCTGTCCCGTTTCTGTTTCTTGCCCCCCCCCACCCCGCGACCAGCTGGGTCTCCCCCAGTCCCCCCGGGGGTGGATGGCAAGGTGCCTGTGAGGGGGGGGGGCAGGCTGTGGGGGAAGAGTGCCTATGAAGGATGTGTTCCATTCACACGCTTGCTCCAGGGACACGTGAGGGCCTGTGGCCTGCTGGAGGGCGTCTGCCGTACCCTGTGTGTTCGTAGCTGGTGGCCCTGGGTGTGCTCAGGCTTACACGTAGGGTCAGCTGTCACGTGGTGTGGCTCTCGGTGACCCCTCGAAAGCCAGCCCAGCGGCTCCCTGGCCACAAGGTTTGGACCACATTGCCTGACCCTCTTAGCATCCCACAGCCTCTGTTTCCTCAGCTGGATGCCGGGACGGTGAGAGCCCCTCCTGCAAGGTGAAGGGCACCTCGCAGGTGCTGAGCACTCAGAAGGGTTATTAGGCTTTATTGCTGCCGTCTCCACTCACGCGGGGAGCGGGGACTATGTCCGGCAAGGTGGGTGCGGTCTGTGCGCCCGGCGTGTGGGCCGCATGCTTGTCTCTCCCTGTGTGTGGACGCGGCGCCCTGGCCCCCAGCTTCCTGGCCAGCGCCGGCCACGCGGCCCAGCCCCTGAGGCGTCCGAGAGCCTGGCTGAGGCCCCGGGTGGGCACTGTCTCAGTCCGTGACCCAGCGGAGTCCCAGGGGTCTGGGCTACACTGCTGGGCCGCTCTGGGCTCAGGGGCTCCCTGCCCGTGGCTGGCGTGGAGTTGTGGGTGGCAGCCGGACCAGGACCTGCTCGGGGTTACCCGCCGTGTCCACCACCCTCAGGTGCAGGAGGCCCAGGAAGGCCTCCGGCGCGATGCTGGTCATGTGAAGCCTGTTTGCCCTGAAACCAAGGGGCGGGCGTGAGGGGGGGTGCCAAGGAAGGGGGACCACAACCATCCTGACCCCCCAGGGGCCTGCTCGAGTCCACCACAGCCCTCCGCGCCCCCCTGCACCCCCTGGGCCTGCTCTCCCCGGCCGCCACCCCTCCGGGGCACCTGAGAAAGAGGGCGCGCAGGCGGGGGGTGCCGAGGAAGGCTTCAGGACCCACGTGGCCAATGCGGTTGCCTTGCAGGTGCAGCTCCTCCAGGGCCTCGGGCAGATCAGGGGGCACGAAGGACAGCTCATTGTGGCTGAGGTCCAGCACCTGGGCGCAAGGGCAGAGGTGGCCCCCTGGCCTTGAGCCCCAAACCTCTCTTCCCCGGGAGCTCTGCACCAGCCTGGGCCTCCTGCCCCTCCCCCTCAACCCCGCCAGATCCCTGCCTCTGCCCGTCCCCTCTGAGGCAGGCTGTGATGCAGGCGCTGGGTCCCAGACAGACCAGAGAGGCCGCTTTGGTCAGCCATTCGCAAAGATCTGGCACCTTCCCACCCTGTCCACTCATCCAGTGCTTTCTAACTAGCGCGTCTGTGCCGTGGGCCGGGAGCTGTGCTGTTCTGTGCCCAGCGACCTCTCCGGTGCCTAGAACAGCGCCTGCACCCACAGATGCCCTAAACGGTGCACGAGGCGGCGGTGAGGAGCCAGAGGCGCCGTGTTCTCTCTGGGCAGGCGGAGGGGCTGGGTGGCCGGGAGGGCACAGCCCAAGGCCTGGAGGCCGGATCTGCCTGCGCGGCCCCAGGCCCTTTCGCTGGGCTCTTCGAGGCCTCTCAGGGCCATGAGGGAAGACGCCTCGAGGCGTGGGGGCTGGGGGCAGCGGGGAGGGGCCGTGGGGACGGTGTGGCTTACCGGCCCCGCGCCTCACCTGCAGGGCCCGTAGTTCGTACCAGGTGCCGGGCCCGATGTCTCCAACCCGCAGCCGGTTGTGCGCCAGGCTGAGCTCCCGCAGCTGGGCCAGGCCGGCCAGCGGCTCGGGCTCCAGGGCCCGCATCTCGTTGCGCTGCAGCCGCAGGGTGTGTAGGCCGCCGGGCAGGCCGCTGGGCAGCCGCGTCAGCTGGTTGCCAGCCAGGTCAAGGCTGCGCAGGGCACGCAGCGGGCGGAAGGCCCGGCGGTGCACGCGGGCGCTGACCAGGCGGTTGTAGGCCAGGTTGAGTTCGGCCAGGCCCGGCATGCCGGCCAGGTCCCGGGCGCCCAGTGCGGTCACGTGGTTGTGCGGCAGCACCAGGGCCCGCAGGCGGCGGGGCAGTGCCAGGGGCACGCGGGCCAGCCTGTTGCCATAGAGGTGCAGCGTGTGCAGGCCCCGCAGCGGCCGCAGCGCCCCCGCGGGCAGCCCCGTCGCCCCCAGCTGGTTGTGCTGCAGCAGCAGGTAGCGCAGGCCCCGTGCCCCGCGCAGCCGGGCCGCCTCCACGCAGCGGATGCGGTTGCGGCCCAGGTGCAGCACGGCCAGGGTGCGGGGCAGGCCGGCGGGCACTGAGGCTAGCCGGTTGTGGGACAGGTCCAGGTACTCGAGGTGGTACAGCTTGCTGGTGGGAGAGAGGGCCGGCGTTGGCTGGGTGCCGAGAGTGGGGTGGGGGTGGGGGCTCTCGGGGAGGAGGGTTGAGGAGTGGTCGTGCTGTCGAAGCCAAAGACCCCAACTTGGGGCTGGAGGAGTAGAGAGATCTGGGTGGGAAGCACACGCGCGGAGCTCAGGGCGGGTTCCAGCCCCCGGGTTAGATGTGGAGGTGCCCAGGACAGAGCTCCGGGTGCAAGTCTGCACGCACAGTGATGACGTTTGGGCGATAAAACCGAGGCCCAGAGTGGATGGGAGCAAGGATGGCTGCCAGGTGCTCCCATGAACACCTCACCAAATGAGGCCTCAGTCTGGGAGTCCTACACCAGAGGGGGGTGGAGGGTTGGGGTGCTTGGACTCTGACTCTCAAGTCCTACTGCCAGCACGAGGCTGCGCCTCTGTCCTACCCGTCCCAGCCCCCACCTGAAGGTGGTAGCATCCAGGCCGCTATCGGTCAGCTGGTTGTGCTGGAGGTAGAGCTCACGGAGGTGCGTCTGGCGGCTCAGCGCTCCCCGGGGCACCTTGGAGATGAGGTTGTTCTGGGAAAGGAGGAGAGAGTGAGACCAGGGGTCGGGGACACAGAGCAGCAGGGAGCTATGGGAGGCTCTTGAGCAAGGGAGGAACAAGGAGCTCACTTCAGCAAAGCGGGTCAGAGAGCGCTTGTGGATGACCCCGCCAGGGGGCAGGACTCGAAGGTATTTGTGACTACTGGAATCTTCAGGAAGGGGAGGTCTCCCCCAGGAGAGAGGTCAAGGGGGCCCAAGGCAGGGGGGGGGCGGGTGTGTGCGGTGAGCAGGGGGATGGCAAGGTGGAGGACGGGCACCTGCAGGTGGAGCCGCTCCAGTGAGGGCGGCAGACTGGGCGGCAGGTAGCTGAGCCGGTTGCTGGAGAGGCTGAGGACGACGACGGCTTCAGAGCCGCGGAAGGCGTCGGGAGGCAGGCCTGCGTTGCTCAGCTGGTTGTCGTGGAGGTACACGGACCTGAGGGGAGCCAGGCTCGGGCCACCAGCCTGCCCCCCTCCCCCCTCCCCGCCCCCCACCCCGGCCGCCTCCAGTGTGGACATGTGCACTGTCTCCGCCTCGTTCTGGAGTTCCCTTGAGAGTGGCTAGGGTGTCCTGCCTCAGACGCCCCGCGCCCCCGCCCTGAGGGTGGGACTCTTCCCCTACAGACCCCCAAGCGCAGGCTCATGACCCCCTCAGGCCTCCAGGGGCGGGGAGTGACCCCAGGCCTGCCCGAAGTCTGAGAGGTCTGGGCTGGGGCCAGGGGGCTACCTGAGCGCCGGCTTCTCCCCAAAGGTAAGCGGGAAGATCTCCGTCACTTGGTTGGCAGCCAGATCCGCAACTCGGAGGGAGCGGGGCAGAAACTGGGGGGCCACCGAGAGCTGTGGGGGCACGGCCATGCTGGTCCTGGTGCCCTGCCCTGCGCCCCCCGTGCCGTCCCCTCCGCGCTCGCCTGGATGACCCTGGCCGGGTTGGGGTGCTCACCTTGTTGTGGGCCACGTAAATGTGCTGCAGCTGCGTGAGGGACTCAAAGGCCTCATCGGGCAGGCCTGGGAGCGGGATGGACGGTGAGGGGACCCTAGGACCCCCCCCCCGTCCTCCGGGCCCGGGGAGTCTGAGCTCCCAGCTGCCCCAGGGCTCTTGGCTGGGGACTGGCTGGGGGGCTCCTGCGGGCACCCTCCCACACGCCTCCCCGCCCGTCCTCCAAATCCACAGCCTGAGTTTCCATCCTGCTCAGCAAAGGGCGATTCTGGGAACTACCGCAGAGCTACCCACAGAGCCAGCAGGGGAGGGAAGGGGCCGCCTCCCGGGGTCCCCTCACCCCTCACCCTCGGAAGAGATGAGATTGTTGTGGAGGTTGAGGGTCCGAAGGCTGCTGAGGCGCGACAGCTCGTTGTAGGGCAGTTCCTGGAGCTGGTTGTTCTGGGAGACGGGGTCACCCCCGTGAGCCCTCCACAAGTGGCCAGAGCCCCCATTCCCACTCCCCGTCGCCGTGAGCAAGTTAGCCTTGACACCCCTCCCGCCCACGCTCGACCCCCAAAGCCCCATTGCCCTGCAACCAAAACAGCCCCGTCCCCCCAAGCAACCCTATGACCACCAAGATATGGACCCCTGACCCCCATCACCCTGACCCCAAGCAACCCTGGAACCAAAAAGACGTTGACCTCTGACACACCCGACGTTGACCTCTGACACACCCCCACCCCCACACCTGGCCCACACGCTCCGTCAGTCTGGCTCCCCAAAAACCCGTAGCTGCCATGACATTGCCCTTTAACACCTCCAAAGGCTCAGCCACTCCTAAAAGTTCCACTCTCTGTCCCCCCACCTGCCCTCGCCTCCGGTGCTCGGACCCCAGCACTCTCACCGAGGCCGGCTTCCGTCGTTGCCGAGACCTGCATGGCCAATGCCTCACCCCTGCACGCGGACCCCACCCCCGCATCCATCATTCTCAAACCCAGCACTTGGCGTGCTCACCCTGCCGCCCCCCTGCCCTCCCCCCCCCCCCAGGCCGCACCTGCAGGGAGAGGTGCTGAGCTGCCCTGGTGATGTTGTCCGGGAACACGTGCAGGTCCAGGCCATTGCAGTCCACTGTGTCTGCCCGGGGGCAGGAGCAGCGCAGGGGGCAGGCCCGGGGCGGGGGCTGCGAGCTCTCCCCCGGGTGGGGGAAGGCGGCGTCCTCCATGCCTGGGGCGGGTGGGGGGCCGGGCAGCAGCAACAGCAGCAGCAGGAGGCTCAGCCGCTGGGATTAGAGGCACTGCTGGGTCATGGTGGCCCCAGGCCCGGCACCAGGTCACCATGGCGACAGGAGCATCCCCGACTGGGGCAGGGGTGAGAGGGGGAGCAGGCAGGCTCCCCCTCTCACCCCTGCCCTCCCGCCCCCACCCCACCTTACCATAGCCAGCCCCGGCTCTGCCGTCTTGCCTGAAGTGCCGACCCGGGGCTCCCTAATGGAAATCAGGCGGTCACCTCCTGGAGCCTCTTCCGTGGCCGCCACCGCCCCCCATCTCTTGGCACAGGCCACCCTCCACCCAGCTTGTTCTCCCAGGGGCTGGGGGGGGGGCTGGGGAAGTAGCTGGCCCACCCCCTTCCCCGCCCTGGGGAAGGTGGGAGGGCTGCCGGATGGGGTGGTGAGGACAGGACAGGCCGTCCCCCTCGGTCCCACCCCCACCAACCCCCCCAGCTGGGCTTGCGTAACCTCGGCCAGCCTGGGCCGGGCCACGGGCGCATGGAATGCTTGGGGGAAAGCTAAGATTCGCCCTGTCTGGTATTTGGGGCAACCGCAGAAATAGGGGTGGGGGCAGAGGAGTGGAAGATGCTTCAGGCCACAGGAGGGTCCCCAAGGAACTGGGGCTGGCAGAAGGGGGTCAGGGCAGGCCTGGGCTCAGCCTGCCAGCCCAGATGCCAGCCTGGGGGCTCTCCGCCAGGTCTGCCATTTGGGCCCCTCCTCCTCCTCCTCCCAAGTGGCCACAGCCGCCGCTGCCTGGAAGGAAATTACACGTATCGAAGCACCAGCCCGGTGGTTAAGGGTGGTTAAGGATATGCACTCAGCGCCAGCCTGCCTGGGCTTGAACTTGGGCTCTGGTACCTCTCTGGGCCTTGGTTTCCCACTCTGCAAAGTGGGGGAATGATTGTCTCGTCTCCCAGGAGTGGTATGAAGGATTAAATGAGATAATGCATATGAGGCGAGTGAGAAGGTTCTCGGCACATTCCCTGCCCTTTAGGCCAGAGCAGTAGCGTAGGGAGAAGAAGCCAGCCTCTGCCCCAGATCCCGTCTCCCAAGATGCACCACTTGCCCGCAAGGTGTCTTCAGGCAAATCGTTTTCCTGCCCAAACCTCAGTTTTCCCACACACAGAGATGACAGAATACCCTCCCTCCCTCAAGGGCAAACCGGGTAGTGGACAGAAAATTCTAAGCACCACATCTGCCCCTCCCAAGTGCTCAGCTCAGAAGCGACTGAGCCGATGGGCTGTGTGAAGGGCTTGAAGGAGGTTGAAGGCAGGAGGTTTCCCAGAAGCAGAGCCTGAGACAAGGATGGAGTGCACTTGTCTTGGAGAAAGAAGCTGGAGGGGAGCAGGGAAATGACAGAGGGAAGGAGAGAAGTAGTCAGTGATGACTTATCTCTGGGGTAGTGAACTTGCCTAGAACTTGGCAGTTTTAGCACTCAAAGCCCAGTGTCCTAGGAAACCCTTAGTCCTGGGCAAATTCGACAGTTTGTCGTGCTTGTTATCAAGTGAGTCCCCACCGGAGACAGGTAGGGCTCAGTCCTGCTGGGGAAAGCTGGCAGATTTTGTAGGACACACGTCCTACCTGAGGGCTGAGGGAGTTGGGGTATTGATTCTCCAGCTCCCTCCATCAGGCACCGGTTGAGGGCTGGCACTTTGGGTACAGCAGGTCCCAGCCCTGAATATATATAAGTGCCTAATGGTGAGGCCTGAGGGGGGCATGCCGGGCTCTGGACGGCACCTTCCAGGGAGAGTCGGGGGGGCGGGGTGTTGAGCCTTAGGGAGATGGCAGTACATCACCGGGGTGGACAGAGAGGGGATCTGTATTATTAATCCCCCTCCCATAACGGAAGAAGCTTAGAGGTGGTCATTTGCCCACATTTCCCCGGAACGGTGTGGGTTCGTGACAGGAGACACTCAGGGTCCCTCGGGGTCCAGGGCAGAAGACAGCTCTTAGTTTCAGCCAGAAGAGAAAACCAGTCCTCAGCCCAAGCTCTCCACGTGGAACCAGCAGCTGCTAGCTCGGAATCTCCTCAGTCTCTCTAGCAGGGAAATGGGTCTCACCTCACAGAGCTCCTGAATTTACTGCCTCGACGCTATAGCCCCGATGAGAACCGAGCTGTTTCTGGCAGTCCTCCCTCAGTCGCGAAGGACAGAGAACCCAAACCAGAAAAGCTAGTGCAAATGAGGGCATTTATTGACTCATGAACAGAAATATGCAGTGAAGGTATCATTCAGGCGTAGCTGGATCCAGGGGCTCAGGGGAATCTCTGACGTCCTCAGGTTAGATTCCTTCTGTCTCTTGGCTCTACCAGCAGGCTTCTCTGTTTAGTGCCAAGATACCCCCAGCCGCCGTGCGTGCACACGCGGAGCTTCACTACAGCCCAAAAGTCTCAAGGTTAAATCCCATTGGCCGAGCTCTGGTCACGTGCCCGTCTGGAGGCAGTCCCTGTGGTCAGAAGGATGGAACGCGCTGATTGGCTAGGAGCCTAATCACTGCTCTTATTTTTTTTTTTAATTTTTTTTTTAATGTTTTATTTATTTCTAGGAGAGAAGAGAGAGAGACAGCGTGAGCAGGGGAGGGTCAGAGAGAGAGGGAGTCACAGACTGAAACAGGCTCCAGGCTCTGAGCTGGCAGTCAGCACAGAGCCCGACGCGGGGCTCGAACCCACAAACCGCGAGATCATGACCTAAGCGAAAGTCGGACGCTTAACCGACTAAGCCACCCAGGCGCCCCTAATCACTGCTCTTATAAAGGACCCACTGGCCTTATCTCCCTGCAAAAGACTCCTTTTCTCTACCTTGCGCTGCCTGACTTTCCCAGCGCGCCCTGCGGGATACACAGCCTTCCCCGACCCAGCAAAGATTTCTGCAGGGACCGCACTGGAGGCCTGTGGTCCATCAGTGTGGAGCCTGGTATAATCAGCATTTATTACCTTCATGGAATGTGTGCACGGAGAATGGAGGGCGGGGAGGTTTGCATGGGGAGGAAGCATTGGTGTCTCCCGGCTCTGACCTCAGCGTAGGGAGGACTGTAGGGTCATGGGGACAAGGGACAGTTGCAGTAATACGGTGGGCAGCTAGGGCAGGAATCTGGTCTCATTTTGCTTGCTGGGGGCGGGGCGGGGGGGGACGGGGAGGAGGTGGGGTTGGTGTGAAAGAGAGCAACAGACTGATGAGAAACGTAGTTTCCCAATTAGAAAAGGAAAGGAGAAGAAAGGGGGGGGGGGCACCTGGGGATCGAATGAGCACCCGGCTCTTGATTTCAGCTCAGGTTGGGATCCCAAGGTCGTGGGATCGAGTCCCATGTCAGGCTCCACGTTGAGTGTGGAGCCTGCTTGGGATTCTGTCTCTCTTTCTATTTAAAAAAAAATAATAATAATAAGCCCTTTTGGGAGCCTGGGTGGCTCGTTGGTTAAGTGTTGGACTCTTGATGTCGGTTCAGGTCATGATCTCACGGTCATGGTATTGAGTCCTGCATTGGGCTCCACACTGAGCATGGAGCATGCTTAGGATTCTCTCTCTCTCTCTCTCTCTCTTTCTCTTCTCTCTCTCTCTTCCTCTTCTCTCTCTCTCTCTCTCCTCTCTCTCTTCTCTCTCTCTCTCAAATTAAAAAAAAAAAAAAGGAAAGGAGGGACCTTAAATCAGTACCAACTAATGACCCCAGGGCACCCGTCAGGCCTGCACCTCCTCATGCTCTGATAGCATTCAACCTCAAGACTCAGGCTAAGGCCAAACTTCTCAATCAGACTTCATCTGACTAATTAGCCCTTCAAGATCTGACCCAAATTCATAAAATTGCTGATATTTATCTGGGCATATGGCTGCCTAAGATAAAGTTCCACATTTCCCGGCCTGCCTTGCAGCTCGGCACAGCCATGTGACGGTGGGAGCAGAAGTGGTCCATACCACTTCGAGGAAAAGGGCGTGCCTTTCCTCTCCCTATTGTTGGAAAGTAGACGTGATGGCTGGAACTCCATCAGCCATCCTGGGCCATGATATTACCTGGAGAATAGTGGCCTTGAATAGTGGAGCAAGAGAGAAGCAACCTTGGTGTCACGTATGATAGAAGGCCACCCTGCAATGATGAAAGTTTTGATCGCCTCCTATCCACCCTGTTGGTGAAGGAGAGATCTCCTTCTCTAAATGATTCCAGAGAGCCAAGCACGAGACAGCCAACCCTGGACAGAAAAGGCTGCCGTTGGTTTATTAGTCACATATACTCACAGCCCTGAGGAGGGAAGGACACCACATGCCACGTGGAGCCACGTGGGGGTGGCGCACGTGGAAGCCAAGTGGAGAAACGGGGTCAGAACGACCAGAATAGCCACCAAATGCGCAATTAAAATTAGCACAGTTATTTCAATTGTGGCCTCCAAAGTTTAGAATAAAAATTGCTTATTCATAAAACAACATGCTTAAATTAGTGCAAATCTTGTATATAATCACCAAGAAGCTGGGATAAATTTTTGTTAAACTTTATTTTTGAGAGCGAGAGAGAGAGACAGAGTGCGAGCAGGGGAGGGGCAGAGACACAGAACCCGAAGCAGGCTCCAGGCTCCGAGCTGTCAGCGCAGAGACTGATGCGGGACTCGAACTCATGAACCGGGAGATCATGACCTGAGCCAAAGTCAGATGCTTAACCGACTGAGCCACCCAGGTGCCCCTAGGATAGATGTTTTAATTAAGAAAAAAAATGAAAAAGCAGGTGCTGTGACAGGCAGACTTTGTGGTGACAAAAGGGGGGGGTGACCTCTGGTCCCCATGGGGGGTGTGATTGGCATGTTAGGATAATTTCTCAGGCTGCCAGAGAGGGGAACCATCAGGCTGAGGACCCGATGGGGTGCAGCTGGTCTGGGTGATGGAGGAGCCACCAGGGTGGGGAGCCTGTCCCTCCGGATGGGCCATGTCTCACGAAAGCAGGGAAACTCACGGTTAGGCCTTTGGGGCCCCATGAGGCTCAGAGACAGAAGACCGTCCATGGCGTCTCAGACTTTTGAAGCCTCCGGCTCCAGCCATCCCCAATGTGGGGGAGAAACAGACGTCTCTCTTGGGTGAGCCACTGTTTCCCTTTTTCTGTCCTTTGAAAAAACAACATACTCTAAATCCTAATGGGGACGCCTGGGTAGCTCAGTGAAGCCTCCTCCTCTTGAGGAGGTCAGGTCTTGATCTCACGGTTCGTGGGTTGGAGCCCTGTATCTGGCTCCACAGTGATGGTGCAGAGCCTGCTTGGGATTCTCTCTCCCCCACCCCCTC